CTCCCCCTAGCTGAAATAGACGACAACGTTGATGGATGAACCGCCCCGAACGGGGCTTAGTAGCCGCTACAACAACAACAACAACTACGAAAAACTAATATGTTTGGTGGAAATAAATTAAGAATTATATAATAAAAGCAATCCTTACTACAAATTCGCAGATAGGAAGCGAATGTTGTGGGTGAAAATAGCAAGCGAGCTGAATACAACCGGTAAGAGAAAAGTCAATTATTGCACGTAAAGTTGTATCACACAGAAGTATTTCTTCAGCTGAAATGTGCGTTCGAAGATGGACAACACTTCGTGAAAGATATGGAAGAGAAGTTCGCAAAGTAGCGCCATCAGGAAGTGGGCGCAATACCATAAACCATGGAACTTGCTTGACACAATGCAGTTTTTAAAGCCGCACTTAGTTCCACGACTGTAAGTAAAAAACACTCCTAATGGGGATTTTAATATGTGAATGTAAGAACTGTTTGTTTTATAGATTACGATGCTCACAAAACATTTGTCCGTCTCAACCTTCGCAATCTACTTTAACAACGGACTCTCCAGTTTTGCAAACAACGCCTAGCTATGTGCCGCTCCAACAATCAGTATGCCTTCACCATGCCAAACAGTGTTTCTGCCTTCTCAATCAATTGCACCAACGATTAGTGAGCCTTCGCCTACTCCAAAAGTTCTTCGACCTTCGCCATCACCACCGCTCTTTGCGCCTTCGCCTTCTAATAAAGTACTTCTGCCCTCACCATCACCGCCAATCAATGTGCCTTCGCCCTCTCAATCGGTACTTTTGCCCACACCATCACCACCAATCATCGCCATCGCCATCTCCTACTTTGTTCACATCGGTATCGCCGTCTTCTCCATTGCCAGGACCATCACAAAGGGGTAGAAAACGAGCGGGAAACAATATCGACGTAGACAGGAGTTTGTTCGAAGCTATCGAATTATTTAAAAAAAGTGCTTGGCTATAGAAGAACATAGTGGAAGCCCGGCTTTAAATTCCTTTGCAAAAATGATGACTTCAATAATTGCAAAGATGAGTGAAGCCAAGCAAGCACGGGCCATGCAACGGATGATGGAGGTGGCATTCGAGGTGCATCAGGAGCCGGAATGAAATAGGTATATATCGTCACCTGAAATGCAAAATGCCATAACTAATTTTTCTTTTTACAGGAGAAGCTAAAGTCGCAAAAAATAAAAAAAAAGAGGAATCTTTTGAATTTCGCTAAAAACATTCCCTACTGGCACACATATACATATATGCCGTACATATGTAACATACACATGTAATAAACACTTCTACAAATACAAGCTCTGATCCAATACTTTTCGTAAAAATCCTGTAAAACTGTCAAACAGCAAAATTACTCTCTGAAGTGAGAGTAAAAAGTTAGTAACAACAAAAAGTACGGGAACAAAAAAAACATTTTTCCTGTAAAAACGTCAACCAGTGATTGCTTGACACTTTTCATGATTTTACCAGAAGAAAAAGTTCGGGTAAAATCTTGTTACTTCATTCTCTACACAACTCTCCAAAAGTCGCTCTCATTTACAGGATTTTGGAGAATTTTGGAGTACGGGAACATTTTTCCTTCAACTTCCTGCAAGTTCGTGTAAAATCCTGTAAGTTCATGGAGTACTGGATCAGAGATACAGTGACCTCAACCCAAACTTGGACACCTCAAAACAAATTATATTAGTTGATATTAACAAAAATTGGTATGTTTAATAAGTTTTATATTTAAATTTTTTCGATCACCATACAAGTTCGTATGCGAGCGTCCATAGTAGCAGGTATAGACGTGCAGTTAGGCCGTGGTTATGCCACAAATTTCGATTGGCAATCACCTTGCAATTGTTGTTGTGCACAGCACGGACTGAGAGAATTTTCGAAATCGAAGAGCCAGCCGATTTGCTGGGTGATTCATGCAAAATGTATTCAACAAAGTGTGATTGATTTTGACATTGCTCTCATAAGAAACAGGCTATAATGTCAAACTGAAATGAATTCTTAACCTATTTGAAATTTTTGTTTTTCAAATTTGAATTTGTTTAAAAGTTACACACAAATTTTTCAAGCAACAAATTTTCTTAATAAACGTGAAATTGTTAAGAGATAAACCGCCGAGGAGAGCAAGTAAATACATTTAAAGTTGGGTAATAAGTAAACACGTTGGACTTTTCTTAAATATTTAATGTAAGGAAACCAAGATGAAACGGAGCAAAACGTTTGAACGGTGCGCTGTATGAAATAAAAGTCAAGACACGAAAACAGTACGATGTTTTAAACCACCTAGTTGCGAGTTAAGACGGCAGCGTTGGGAAGAAAGCTGTGGTATTGTACTACGTGATTCATCTCGCGTTTTTGAAAACCACTTCAAGGAAAGTGATTTCATTAGTTGTCCGTCCGAATCAAGCACTTTCAAACGAGCTCGTTTATACCCAGACGCAGTCCCAATGCCATACGAAATAACTGAAATAAGTGAGGATTTAGAACGCGATCGGGATACATTTGTTGATGTCCAAACTCAAAGAGGCGACTCTTTAGAATGCACGTTGATAACAGAAATATTTCTTCTTACCGAAATAATTAAAACCATGCAAGCAAGTATGTAAGAGCTTAATTTAAAACTGCTCGAAGCAAAGTCTTTAATGGAAAACTATTTCGCATGAAAAATTTAATTTCAAAATTGTTAGAGTTAAGCTCACATATAAAATTGGAAACAAATGTAAAATCCTACTTTTATAAGTGTCGAATAATGTTTAGGATAAAAAATTTAAATATAAAAATAAACGCACAAAAGCATAAAACTTGGGCAATTAAAAACAAGAAAATTGCTAAAACTATTTTATAAACAATTTGTTTTATTTTATTGACAAAATATATATATTCCCGGTAATGTAAGTAAAAAAAAACTATAATCGAAATAAAAGCCTAGGGCATCAGTGCTGACAAGATACATGCAAAACTAAGGGTTAATTCGTTTGTTTATCCTTTTTGACATAATAGTACCTTAAAAGAGAGCCGCACTGAATTGTCAATCACACCTTGATTAATACACCTTGGATTCATGATTCAATAATACAAGGTTCGATAAACTGACAGTTGTCTCTCTCGCACCGCTCCCTTAGCAGTGGCACAGTGTTGCTTCTTTGCAAATTTACATGGAAACAGTGTAGCTTTGGTGTGAAATAGAAGTATAAGATTTTGCGCAATATGTTTATATGTATATAAGCATATTTAACTGATGAAAACATAAACTGTTTTTAAACTGGATGTTTACATCAATCTCATAGTAGTCTTATTTTAATTTTGAGTCATTTTGCAGTTTTTATACAGGTAAATAGCACATAAATTACGTAATTCACGTAGATATATCAATATTACGTTCAACATTTCGTTTAAAATACCAGATTTCCTGCAAATACATTAGAATTTACAAAAGGAGTTTCACTACTAATTGCCTACTTTGCGTACTGTTCTACTACCATTTTCGCACCAAGATATTTCATTCTTCCCCTTTCTCCGTCCTTCGTAAATGCAACCTCTTGTAAGGGAGTGTCAAACCGCAGCGGTCAATAATTATCTAACCTTGTATTATTGAATCATGGGTGGACCGAACAGCCAGCACGCCAACTTTTCAGGGTGGCAATACGCTATTTTGCGAATAAGCATTAGTATTAAATATTAGAATAGTAAAAAATATTTTTTTATTATTGTTATAAAGTATATATTAAAAAAATATTATAAAAATTAAATATTAAAGAAAGAAAAAATATTAAGTTGTTCTTCCATTTTTCATTTTCCGACTTCAATTTTGATGCATTTTGAGTTGCATTTTTACTTCAGTGCTGCCATTGTGTTAGAAATTGTATGAAATGGAAAAGGCGTTTCTTAAGAAGCAACCCTATGCTCGCCAATCAGCAAACAGAGCGTAATAATTCTCACCAATCATCGAAATTTTTCTCTTTTGATTGCCAATTAAAATTGGTGGCATAACCACGGCCTAAGCGACTGAAACACGGCTGTTTATCAGAAGCATACAATTTCGAACTCGAGTAAATGTACATTTGCTAAAGCGGTAGCATGAACGCTCTTCGAAAACATATGTTCGAAAGTGCTAAATGTTGCATTTTAAATGCAGCAAAAACGCTGCGTAAAAGTTATTCATTATTTGACATTTTAGTCGGTGTTCGAAAGAGAGTGTTCGCTATGCTTTTACAAGTTGGTACTAATTGTTACCAAGTCGTGTTCGTTTGGCCGAAAACCCTCTAAAACTTGCAAAGACAGAGCACAATTTTGACATTTCATTTGGAGGGAAAGTTGCAAATTCGTGCTGGGAAAGTTTTGCCACAAGAATTTGTAAGCAGAATTGTGGCACACGGTTGCATTTTTGTCAACATTAACTTTAATCAACAAGCTCGTTAAATTTAAAAATGGACCATCTTGTTGCGACAAAAAAAGCATTTTTCGAGTAACAAGTACGGGAACAAAAAATCCAATTTTCCTGTAAAAACGTCAACCAGTGATTGCTTGACACTTTTCATGATTTTACCAGAAGAAAAAGTTCGGGTAAAATATTGCAACTTCGTTCTCTACAGAACTCTCCAAAAGTCGCTCTCATTTACAGGATTTTGGAGGATTTTGGAGTACGGGAACATTTTTCCTGCAACTTCCTGCAAGTTCGTGTAAAAACCAATACAACAACAACAATGGCGCCTTCGTTTCTACAAAAAACGTTGCCTGCTCATCGCCCTATTCTTAGTGTTTGGGCGTAGAGGGAAAAGAGAAGGTTGCATATTTCGGTAGAAACGAAATCGGCATAAATGTTTTATGTCTGTAAGTGTGGCAAAATTTTAACCTTTATTTTGAGTATAATATAATGGGAGATTGTATATAGCGTCGTAATCATAATCGAATGCTTACTCCATTTTGTTTATAATACTTATTATTTATATGGTAAGTTTGCTTAATGAAACACTTAACACATTTTAAATGCCAACTGTGAGTTTTTTTCTAATCATCTAATTGAATTATGCAAAGAATGGTGCACATTTTATTACACCATGAATGCAAAGTAAATTTTAAGTGTAGAAACGCCAAGGAGACATGACTACTCAAAACGGGCGTTTTCAGATTTAAATAAGGAAAACATTGAGTACTGCTTGCAGCTCTCGATCGCAAAGGCGTCCAACATCAATCGAAAACAGTGCCAGTAAAGGCGTAGATACTACATTTTTAAATGTTTTTTAGCTTGATTTTTTTCTAACTTGCGTTGCCTTGACTGCAGAAACTCACGACGCACTTCACTGGACCTCACTTTAAGTATGCAATTCAATTTGTTAAGAATATGTTCGGCGGTATGTGTATCAGCTTCGAAGTCGTAATGTTTAAATCGCATATGAGAATAATGATGACTTGTGGTGCTACCAGCACTGCCGGAACTAGATGAAAAGAGCCCGAAGGGTGAATGAACGTGCAAGTAATGACCGGGGCTAGTAGGGGAATGTGGCGCTACCGCACCACCGGTAACTTCGCTTTCAGAAGTATGAGCCGCAGTTTTCATATCTGCAGAAGTTTTGCTACTATTAGCAGAAGATGATGAGGATGATGACTTAAGCCAAATGCGGATAGTGGCTTTCAAATGACGTCGTTCGACTATTTCACAGGATGCAATGACATCAATGGGATAGGTCACCGACTTTTGCTTAGTCCAAAATTTTGCATTCTTATGTTGATCAATTTCGATGCGCTCTCCAGAAATTCCAAGTGTTACCTCCGTTTTAAAAAAAGGTTTGTCGATTATATTTAGACGATATGTGCGGTACATAGGTGCTTCCAACATATCATTGTGGCTCATCATACGCTCTTCATAATCATCATTGTTGCTCACAGTAATATAATTTGTATCATCTTCTTCACCATCTCCCACGCCATTAAGTGTGATTCCTTGAAGCGATTGTACGGCAGCGGCTGCCAGTCTTGCTTTATCTTCTTCAGAAGTCATTGATTTAGTTGCCATATTATTAGAGTATTCAATGCGAGTTACTTGAGCCAATGGTCGTCGCTCGGCCAATGTAAGATGCGAAAATCCAAACTTCGAGCAAGGTTCTCTATTATCAAGTGGAGGGAAGTCCTCCATGTCATCGTTATCTTCCGTAATGTACAGAGCATAATGTCGTATTGATTTTAAAGGGATATCAGGGTATTGTATTGTTGCTTTATAACAGACAAGACCAATTACCTAAATAATATACAATTTATTAATATATTCATGTATTAAGCTTATAGTTCTGTATCTAATATTACCTCAATTATTTTGGCACTTGCCAGGACACATATTTTGATAGGATAATTGCGCTCCCGTTCCGGCAACATGCTTAAGAAAACATGGATACGTTTTGTTTGAATACCCGTCTGGGAAGTGCCATCGAAGCACGCATATTCCATAAATTTGTTTTGAGCTTGTTTGGGACTATTTGCCAACTGCTGGGCTAACTTGCTTTTAATTTTTGGTTCACACTTCTCACCACCTCGAGCGTCATCAGTTACATCGGTGCCTTTGCCAATATTTTCATTGGTTGCATTCTGAATGGTAGCTTGAGACACAGACTTTTTAACGAAAAAATCAATACGCTCTGGGGGAACAATTTCGTCATCGTAGTTTACAGATTTAGTTTTGGCCGCTTTTCGACGAGCTATGTCCATTTTTTCTAACTTTTGAGCAGTATTTGAACGAAACCGATGCGCACCGATTTCTGGGTACATTTTAATTTCGTACGACTGTGTGGTTAAATTCATATCTTCGTCATCACTTTGGTCTAATCCCGGATAGCAAACAAAATCTACTTCTTGTAGAGCTGGATCTAGCATGCGTTGGAACTGTTGTTTATTTCCAATAGATTTCCTATTCTGCTGCCTATTTTGATTGGAGATATTATTTTCAACAGCAGTTGTGTGGTATTTTTGCAAAAAGTGTTTGGGCATATCATCGCTTAACATGACAGTCTCACACATTCCAGTATCGTCCGTTGAAATAAAGGAATTGCGTATGTGTGAAAGCAGCCAATGTTGGTTACAATATGTCGCCATTTTTGCAGATATTATTGAAAGACTTATCACAAAAGTTACAAAAATTTAAAAACGTTAATTTTTATAAAAATCATATATTTTGCAATTGTACTGACACTACTGACTAGGGATGCGCGATACCGATACGATATTCAATATATCAATATCGTTGTTCAACATATCTGTTAATTTATATCGATATCAGGTGTTGCGATACGATATCGATACAATATTTTGTTTCGATATCTGAAATATCGGAAAATTTTCTCCTCGTTCCCTAAGGTTCTGAACTGAAAATAAAATTGAGTACATAGTTGGAAAATGTGTTCGTTCTCGCAAAACAGCTTTTGGCATAGTAACCATGAAGAACAAAAATTCATAAAAACATCAAAATTGCTTAAATCAGTTTGCAATTCTCAATAAATAAATGCTCGTAAATTTAATCCTTCAAGAAAATCGACAAAGGATACATACTTCTTGCATAAAAATAATATTAGCTAACCAAGACAAACCATAGCTGCTGTATGGCATTTTGGGCTTTAGCAGATTCAGTTGATCATGAAATTTTGTATACCGAACAAAAACTTAAAAATTCTGTTTTTTGAGGTCATTGAGGTTTGTACTCCACATTTAGAAATACATATGTACGTATGAAAAGGTGTGTCTCTTTGAGATTACTCGACATGCTTTTGAGGAGGGGTAAATCGAAGTTACAGAACTCTGGTTATTATTTTTCAAACTTATTTGAGGCTTTCACAACGGTGTCGTAAGTGTGGTATTTTTGTATGTCGTAAAGTTTAATAGCCTTAATAAATGTTTAGAGAACTTGAAACGGCAACCAACTATTTTTTAACACTACAACAATTCATAATATGACTTTGATAGTACTTTGCGAACCCCCTTAATATATTTTTTAGGCGTTTAAAGTTTGCGACATACAACAATACAACACTTACGACACCGTTGTGAATACCCCAATTAAAGTGCATCTTATCCAAAGTAACTTCGTTATTTGAATTTATGCTTATTTGCCTTTTAATTACAAATATACGTGGTGCGCAAAAAATATCTTTATTAGCCATTTCGTATTCAATATATCGATATTATTTTAGTAGATATATCGGTATCGGATATTGTGAATTTAGAATATCGCGATACCGATATACCGAATTTTCATTGGCGATACGAATCCCTATGACATTAGGAGTGTACCATGATACAAAAATAGAAGGTAGTTTCATTTATTGACATTCGTTGTTGTTGCCGACCACTTGACTTTTAATAAGTTTATGACATTTCATTAAAACCATGCTACCAGATTCACTAGCAGAAAAATTTTTGTTTCTTGAAAAAGTAAAAAAAAAATTTTAAGTTAGTGAAGTTGGATGAAAACATTAAAAAGTCTTGCGCGTTTTCAAACTGAATTTGATACACCTGTGCAAACGTTCGAAAATAAAGTTTTTTGGATAGAGGATAGAGTACGTAATACCATTTAATGCAGTTTGATGACAAATTGCTGACACAAAATATTTTTAAACCTCTAACCGATGTTGTGCAAGTGCACCGATAAAACGTATATATGGCAAACCAAATGACAAATTGTAGCCAATATTTTTGCCTGTGCTCGTGGGAGTATTTGTGTAACAAAACTGTTCATATTCATCAACTTAGACAAAAATGTATTTAAACTTATTATTTCTTCAGCTATATAACTGAGCAATCAATGGGCAGTCATGCAAGTTCCAACTTCTACTTGACCTTTGACGTACGTAAAAGGGAACCTAGCCTTTTTAACAATATTTTTTGTTTTCTCTTCTTTCAATACCTGCATTGGTTTCTTTCTTTAATATTACTTTTTTGGACCAATTTTAAAAAAACTACTAGACACAAAAAAAGAAGCTGTGTGTTCTTAACCAAATTTTCGTGATTTGCTTTTGATGTTACATATATTCGTTTCAATAATTAATAAATGGGGCTCTTCGGGGAATTTATTTTTAGCAAAAAATTAAAGAACAGTAATTTTGTTTACTTGTCGGGCAATATTTTTTCGGATGGATATATACTGTCCCTTCTTTGCTATTTAAAGTCAAAGAGTAAGCTCCTTCAATAGGGATTTCCAGCAGAAATGATCAACGTCTGGCTATAAAGAGGAGCGATGCTCAAATAATTAAAAGACTATAGGTCTGACCTTTAATAAGATAAGAATTACGTAAGTATCTGAGATTCAAATGTTTTTAAAAAACGGGGTGCTTTTTTAAAAAATAACAGTGTTCTTATCCGATTCCGCTGACAGCCACGACTTTGAAAACAGAATTTTGCTCAAAATTTTCATTCCAGGAAAACAATAATTTATTTTCCATATCCACCTATTTAGCTCGCTATAGGCATGGATTGTTCAAACCAGTCGCAGAAGAAAGTATTAAAAATGAACTACAAAAATTAAACTCGAAAAACGCTGATGAAGTTACAGATTCCCCAAATTCTGAAACAGCCAAAGGAATGACAATGGAGAACTATTTTTAAAAAGCTTTAGAAAAACCTGACACATCTGGGTTGGCTTTGTAAGCGCTGTTTAAACAACGATCTCGCCATTATGCTAGATTCTAATTGTTTCTTAAAAATACTTGACATCCGCATTCGCGGTTGTTAGCTTTTAGATATTCGCATCCGCGGAATATGTCGGAAAATTCAGCCTCCACGAAGAAACGTCCGATAACGGACTGAGGCTGATCGACTTTGCCGGGGTCCGAAATATGGTAATATGTAGTACTAGGTTCCAGCATAAGAACATCCACCAAGCTACATGGCTGTCTCCAGATCGTAAAACGAGAAACCAAATCGATCATGTTGTGATAGACGGAAGGCATGCTTCAAGCGTTGTAGACGTACGTACACTCCGAGGGCCAAACATCGACTCGGACCACTATCTTGTTGTAGCCAAGATACGCACCCGCAAAAAATGTGCGCCCAACAATGCAAGGAAAGCTTTACGTCAAAGCAATAAGAAGAGAGAGGCCGAAATACGTGAGTGCGAAGAGCTTGAGATGCTGGCCGACAGGAAGAGCGCCCGAAAATTCTACCAGAGGGTTAGGCGACTTACGGAAGGTTTCAAGACCGGGGCGAACTCCTGTAAGAACAACAATGGCGACCTAGTGACCGATGTCCAGAATATAGTTAAATTATGGAGGGAACACTTTTATAACCTACTGAATGGTAGCAGCGCTGAAAGTAGTGAAGAAGACGAACCCGAGTCCCCAGTCGATGATGATGGAGTACCTGTCCCACCGCCTGACTATGACGAGGTATGAATAGCGATTACGCGGTTGAAAAACAACAAAGCTAACGGCCTGCCAGCCGAGCTATTCAAGTACGGCGGCGAGGAGCTGATGAGATGCATGCATCAGCTGGTATGCAGAATATGGTCAGATGAACGCATGCCCGACGACTGGAATTTAAGTGTGCTCTGCCCAATCCACAAGAAAGGCGACCCCGCCATACGCGCCAACTACCGCGGAATCAGCCTTCTAAGCATAGGTTACAAGGTCTTATCGAGCGTATTGTGCGAAAGACTGAAGCCCACCGTCAACGAGCTGATTGGACCTTATCCGTGTGGCTTTAGGCCTGGAAAATCCACCATAGATCAGGTATTCACAATACGCCAAATCTTGGAAAAGACCCACGAGAATAGGATCGACACACACCATCTATTTGTCGATTTCAAAGCCGCTTTCGACAGCACGAAGAGAAGTTGCCTTTATGCCGCGATGTCTGAATTTGGTAAAATGACGTTGAGCAATACCACCAGCTCCGTCAGAATAGGGAAGGACCTCTCCGAGCCGTTGGATACCAAACGAGGTTTCAGACAAGGGGGCTCCCTCTCGTATGATTTCTTTAATCTGATGTTTGAGAAGATAATAAAGTGCCGCAGAACTGAACAATACTTTACAAGAGCGTACAATTGCTGGCGTATGCCGACGACATCGATATTATCGGTAAAAACAAGGGCTACGTCTGTTCTGCCTTCTCGGGATTGGATAGAGAAGCAAAGCGAATGGGTCTGATGGTGAACGAGGACAAAACGAAGTATCTCCTGTCAGCACACAGTCAGAGCATACGCGTCTTGGCACCCACGTCACTGTTGACAGTTACAAGTTTGAAAAAGTAGACGACTTCGTTTATTTGGGAACCAGCATTAACACCAATAATAATGTCAGCCTTGAAATCCAACGGAGAATCACCCTTGCCAGCAAGTGGTACTTTGGGCTGAGTAGGCAATTGAGAAGTAAAGTCCTCTCTCGTCGTACGCTCCTGCTCTGAAAATATTCAAAGCGGGCCGCGATGCTGGTAACAGAGGAAGAGGAAGGCCTCCTCTGCGTTGGACTGACCAGGTGGAGAAGGACTTGGCTTCAATTGGCATTTCCAATTGGCGTCAGTTAGCACAGAAGAGAAATGACTGGCGTGCTGTTTTGGACTCGGCCAAAATCGCTTAGGCGGTAACAGCGCCAATAAAGAAGAAGAAGATGGGGGTGTTTGAAGGTTTGACAAGCCGTTTGAGGGTGATGTGAACAAAAATCAAAATTTTTTAATTTTCTGGCAGCCATGTTGAGGTTTGATCAAACCGCATACGTTGTGAGTGACAAAATCGCCTCATTCGCAACGGAATTTTTACCGAATGAGGACGCAAGAGAGAAAAATCAAAGAAAACCAAACCCTTTTATACCATGTTCTGACCGACATCGAAAACATGTTTTCGTTGCTAAAACTGGTTTTTGACTTAAAACTTTATTGTTAATTGGCTGACAAAAGTAAAATAATACAATCTTCTGACCGACAACGAAAACACCTTAAAAAAGAGTTTTGGGATTGTCGGTTGAAGGCTGTTCACACCGACTGTTGGTGTTTTCGTTGACATTTATTACATCCTTTGTTTACAGTTTTGCCGCACAAATACAAAACCAAACTACTTTTCCTGCAATTTCTTTTCAATAAAAACCTTTTACTTCCCTGCTTATTTTATTTTGGTCAGTAGGGATGTTGCGATACAAGTAAATACAAGTAGGTACTCGATACTTTCATCTTGAAACCAAGTACTTTTGGCATCGATACTTTCACCACATACAATAAGTAGGTATCGGATGTAAGTACTTGGTATCCGCAAAAAGTACTCATACATAAACTCCCATTGCTTGTAAAGCAAAAGTACGAATGTCAAAATATAAGGTAGAGCAATAAGTGAGAGCACAATATTCGATCAACTCAAAGCCATTTGAGCAACAGAGCAAACAAAATTTACCGTTGCTATTGTGGTTTGCCATACCTCATTTCATTTGAATTTCATTTTCTTGGTGGTGTTGCTTCAACTGAAAGTTAAGCTTGTAGAAACAGTTCGTAAACAAATTTTTAATACAAATGTATTTGTCTTTTTATTATTTGTTTGCTTGACGATTGTTAAATCGTTTGGATAGAGAGGCATCATTTTGGACATGTTTTAATTGGATCTTCACGGTCAACCTAAAATTTTTGAGTAAAAGTAGCAAGCTAGCTGGCGGAAAATGAGTAAATAAAAGTACATACTCGATACTTTTTGGTTGGTATCGGCTTGGTATCGATGCCTTTTCAGAAAAATACTTCCAAGTATAAGTATCGATAGTAAAGGTTATTTCCACATCCCTATTGGTCAGCCAATTAGCAATAAATCCGAAATGGCATACTAAGGGCCGGTTACTCAATGTCTGGTTAACACTAATCTCCGTTTAAACATCATTTTCGACGTGCTCGGCTCAATGCATATAACATGGAGTCGGTAACGTCGATAACGATGTTTTACCGGAGATTAGTGTTAAGCAGACATTGAGTAACCGGCCCTAAAAATGATAAAATATGACTTCCACTTCGATAAATAATCGAAAAAAACTAGAGCATACACCGATTGGAATGAGTGGAACGTGAGTTTTCAAGTGGTTTTCAGCGAAAACACAAGTTTTAGGTCGAAAACCAGTTTTAGCAACGAAAACGTGTTTTCGATGTCGGTCAGAACATGGTATAAGGGCCGGTTGTTCAATGTCTGATTAGCACAAATCTGAAGTAGAAGCTCCGGTTAAGCACAACTACTGCTTTATCGATCACATGTTAAATGCATGATGTCGAAATCGTCGATAGTGTAGTGGTAGTGATAACCAGACATTGAACAACCGGCCCTAAGAATGAAAGTAAGAGGACGCTAATGAAAAGAAAATGAGGTAAAAGCATTTTGGTTTTGTTTTTGTGTAGAAAAACTGTAATCAGAGGATGTAACACCTAAGTGCCGGTTGTTCAATGTCTGCTTATCACTACTTGCCTGTTAAACATCATTATCGACGAATTCGACATCATGCGTATAACATGTGATCGATAAAGCAGTCGTTGTATCTAACCGGAGCTACTACCTCCGATTTGTGCTAATCAGACATTGAACAACCGGCCCTAACAGCCGGTGTGAACAGCCTTCAGCCCACAATCCCAAAACATGTTTTCAAAGTGTTTTCGTTGTCGTTCAGCAGATGGTATTACATTGTGAACCGAAAGATAACTAAAATCTTTGCTTGAAGGATCAAGCCCAAAATACAATAACGCAGTGGCAGTGGCAGCGGCAGTTTTTCGAAATCAGCTGTTTTTTAGAAAGTGTGGTGTCCAATGAAGCGACTCACAATACAGCAGTGGCAGCTAGCAGTACTGCTCAGTTTAGCCCAAATTCTAAATTCACTGCCACTGCCTTCATCGCAGCAAACTTCGCATGCTGAATTTGACATAAATGAAACGCAGCCAACATCTGTTGATGTCACTGAAGCCTAAAAGGCAACAACAAAAATGTAAACAAACAAAAGGGAATGTCAAAAAAAGCAGTCACTGACAACGCCGTATTGTGTTTGCTGCGGCATTGACTGCCAATATTAGCAGTAACAGCTGATTTTAAAAACTGTCACTGCCACTGCCACTGCGCTATTGTGTTTTGGCCTTCATGTTTGCATGATGTATGGCGAAATGCGAAAAGTACATTTGAAGAATGTTTGACAAGCCACTTGTGTAGTGTATTTCGCTCTTTATAAAACTTCGGAAAGTTTTTTAATATGAGGATTTTAACTTTCAGATATGGCGTAACTGTAAAAAGAATCTGCGTGCGTGTACAAAAACATTTCGGAAAAAAAGAATAGGGATTAATGAAAAATTATGTCTAGAATTATTGCAGCATAGTTCATATTTTTAAAATTGCAGGTTTTTGAAAAAATTTTGACTTAAACGGGGTTAGATCGCCGAAACAACAGCCGTTGGTCGGGTACAACTCGAATTATTCCGGTACGTGAACCAGCTGTCGTTGTTTGGCTTGCCGCTATGCTGGCCGCCTTACCCTACGTCGATAATGAAGTTATTTGACATAAGTCTGTTATTTGACATTTTGTTGCCCCTTGTTATTTTTGCATTCGTAGGCAATTGTGTTGGTGGAAATATGAATAAAATTGCCGATTGACGAAATTATTAGATTTGGAGGTCTTTTTCTCAAAGAGATATGAAAAGTTATACAGGAATTTAAGGACAAATACCCAAATGTATTAGCTGCTATAATGGATCTAGAATCGTGTGATGACGGGGGTTTCTATGGTAAGTGGTTTTCCTCATGGGCGGTGGGTCATTGAAAATATGTACATATGTATGTTAATATTTCTATATTAACATTCCTATATGAATGCATATGATCTTTCCCTTTGTCTCGCTGCTTAAAATGCGGTTTGAATTAGGTTTGATTAAATTTTAAGCCTGGCCAAATAAATCTGCATGCTCCATAGCTCGGAAGTAATGTAAGCCCACAACGCGATTTATGAACACATGGCTCAAAGTAAAATGTATAATTTTTATGAATTCTAATGCGTAAATTTTTATAAGATAAGATAAATATGAATGGGTAATATTATTATGCAGCGAAACAATTCTATCATTCTTGGTACATACCTACGTTTGAATGTAAATATGTATGTATACATACTTGTGGCTAACAGGTCTATTCTGCACGTTACCGAGATTTTGTGACCGGAAAATTGTATTGCCAAAAAATGTATTCTAGGCACGTTGGTAATGCAGTGAAAATATTCAGCAGTTCAGCTATGAAGATTTGTGGAAATTCTTGTATTGCATATTTCACGGGGCAATATTATGTTACCAGTTTATGAGATGGTATCCAAATTTACCGGTTACAAGAGCGCACAGAATGCGATGAAGGTTTAAAAATTGACAGACACTTTAATTACCGGTTACAAAATTTATGTTACCAGCGCAGAATAGAGCTGTTATAGGCCGTATTCGAAATATGTTTTATTAGGCTATAATTCAAATTTACAATATTTCACAGGAAACTTCGACAAGCTAATGCCGTCATCTGACAACTATTCGCTTGATGATATTGAGGAAATTCTGCGTTCTACTGATTCCCATCTTGATTCGTCAATTGACTTGAACCACCTTACGCCACATAATGTCCAAGATTTTGATATACCAGCTGCTCCAACACTGGATGAATTCAACTTTGACTTGCCGTTATGTTCCAATGAACTGGCGTATAAGTCGCAGCGAGCTTCATCGATTTCATCTATGGATGAGGACAACTTCAACCCAGATGAATTCATGAATTTCTTGAAAAAAGAGGATATCAAAATGGAATGCCTTGATGAAACTGAGTTGCGGCAACGTAGTACACCCTCCCCCACGGGGAGCTGCAGCAGTTCTGGGGGTAGTTCAACAAGTGGTGTGCAGAGTGACATCTCATCAGTTGCTTCACGATCTCAAAACTACATGGAAGTTAGTCCGCATAGAGATCCCAATATTAGCTTCAGCGACATAAGCAACGAAAACGGAGAAACACCTGGTAATGAAATTATGGAAGCTAAGTGTCTTCCGCATGTAAATGTAATATCGCCAGTAGTAGAACAACGTCAAACTATTGGTTTACCCACCACAAACACAAACAATGTTAATGGGTCCACTATGCCTGTCATAGTTCCTGTAGTCACTATGAACAATGGAACAACGAAACCAATTTCAGCATCTACTGGCACACTGCAATCGTTGCAACCTCTACAACAAGTACAGTCTATTAGTGTTCTATCAAACGCATTGATTTCTCTGCAAACGGTCCCATTAAAAGCAATAACCCAAGTGGAAAGCAATACTAAATCTACGCCACCAATCAAAATTGGCCCAAAATTAGCACCAAAAACTAACGTCAATAATTCTCCTAAACCATCCCTTGTCCCAACAGCGAATGTCTCAAAAGTGGTGCCTCCAATAAACTCAAAGCCGAAAACTGTGTTTTTAACAATGAACGATTATAAAGCATTAACTGAAACAAATAGCAAAGGTGGAAAGAGCAGTGGAACAGCCACGCCTAAAATTATCTTAAAAACGGCAAGTGGAAAAATCATAACTGCTAACAAAATTTTGTCTTCAGGAAATGGGTCATTAGGAGTACATCATAATTTTGTGCCAAAAGTGGTCAAGACAATAAATGGGCCTGTAGTTATTAAACAGCCATTATCAAAACTTACACATGGAGGAAATAGCGCTATCGGAGCTTATGGAAAGCCATCTACCAATGCTGGGCCTACCAGTCTAAGCGTTTACAAAGGCCTCATTGATGAAAAAATGTGGAAAAAGCAGCAGCGTATGATCAAAAATAGAGAGTCTGCTTCATTGTCACGCAAAAAGAAAAAAGAATACGTTGTTTCACTTGAATCGCGTATCAACGATTTAGAAAAGGAAAACTATACTTTGAAGGGGGTAAGCTCTGATTATAAGACCTACATTAATGTGAAAAATAATATTGACACGAAATTTCGACCAGTTTTTGCTGTTGTTCTAACAGCATACAAAAAATCCCAAAGAGTTTTTTGGGAGTTGTGCTGGAGTGACACTCCTTAGCGAGATATAAATATGGGTCGTTCGGGTTATGTACACCCGACTGTCGTGGGATCGACCAGGGCATGAATCACGTAACTTTGAAACGATATTCGTTCAAACGATACTGACAAAACGATGTCGTCAAAACACTGATTCATGTATTTGGGACGCTGTTACATGTTACTGTTGCGTGAAGCCAAATTGAAATCGAGTTGACTATATTGCTCAAACGATCAAACAATTTTTGTTTTCATGACGCAAGACAATCTCAACATAATATCGTCCAAACGGTTGTCGTCATTCGTGATTCATGCCCTTAGGCAATTTTCTTTGTATTGGGAAATGTTTGTTATTTTTTATAAAAATTAAGCTCATTATCTAACAAGCAACATAACATAAGTACAAATTTTAAAATTTCCCTAAAAATCAGAAAAATTCAAAAATTTTTGGCAACAACAAGAAACTTTTTATTAAGAAATTTTAGAAAAATCCTAAGCATTCAATTTTATAGCCCATTTAATTCCAGCAAAGTGCAAAGAGTTCGCGAAGATTTGTGATGCATTTTTTCCAATGGGGTTATTAATTTATTCCCTTCAAAAAAGAAGTAGCGAACATACTTTGTATGGAAGAAAATACATGCCACCGTTAGCAAAAAAATTATGAAAAATTAACGCGAATTCTTAGCCACTTTAAATTGCACTTTATCTAGAACAAATTTTGTTGTGAAAAAAAGTGTGAAGAGCAGATAAATATTAAAAGCTACTTGAGAAAACGGCACTTAAAGAGCTTAATAAAGGGAGATGTTTAAACAAATTCTGGATTTATGAAGCATTCTTTATTTTTTATAAATATTGGCATTGCTTCATATATTTTCGACGGTATTTAGAAAGTAGGTAAGGTATCGGCTTTCTCCTGAAAATATAATTTATAATCTTATAACCCCAGTCTACTATCGCACACGTTCTTCAAATATGTACTAATTCAATATTTACCTTATGTTATCATTTTCATTCATTTAAAAGTATATCCGAGAATAAACTGTCTTAACCCTCTTTAATTTAACATAATTACATACTGTAATATTTCCTTTATTCATCAATTCAAATGAATAACAACAACAATAACATTTTTTACGCAGCCCTACCTAAATAATATTTAGGGCAGTGAATTTTCCAAAACCTCTTTAATTTGATACCCATATTGCAATATTTAATTTATCTTAGTAATTACATTAAATTAAAAATTTCACAAACTGTTTTTGACTGTAAGCCTTCTTAAATCTCGTCCTTTTGACAGTCATATTGACATAGATAGAGAGACAGACAGACAAGAATTCTAAAAATTGTTGATTTGGCTTCCTTTGCTCTTATTAAGACCCCCATATTAATTTTTTTTAATATCTATAATGAACAGACATCGGCCTGCTTCAATTTTATTATATGTGTGGATAATGAACTGTAAAGAAAACAAAAGAAAAATAGTTAAAGCTGGTCGGAATGTCGTGTCTCTATTATTTTTCACATGACTGTGTATATGTAGCAGGGACGTGAACCGGATGAACAATTTGGTCGGTTCGGTTCAGCGGCTCAAACCGTTTTTATACCCTAGCGCACATGTGCGCAAGGATATTATAACTTTGTTCACATAACGGTTGTTTGTAACAGGCAAAACGAATCGCGAAAGATATGTAGATGGTATTGAAAATGGGCAAAATCGGACAATAACCACGCCTACCTCCCTAATAACTGCGATATTTTAGTAACTACTGAAAACTTTTCAACAAACAAACAATGATTTTTATGCGAAAAATAGGAATATTATACATTTTTAGAAAATGGGCGTGGCCACGCTCACTTATGATTACACGTGTTTAACTTGGTAACCGCTCAACCAATTTTTCCCAAACTCTGCAGAGTGGCTGGTCTTAGTAAAACATACCAGACGGCTGATAACTTTTAAAATCGGAAAATAACCATGCCCACATATCATATTACGGTAATTTAGAGAAATACGAAATCTTCAATAAATCAGTAACTACTGAAGCTAAGTTACTCAAAATTGATGTCTGCAATAATTCTTTAACCAAAATACGTTTATAACAAAATCTTGGAAAATGGGCGTGGCACTGCCCACTTACGACCACATATCCATACGATCAATTTGTACCAAACTCGTTACAGTTCTTGAACTTGGCATATAAAAGCAAGACGTTGAAAATTTTGAAATCGCATTAAAATTACGTCGACTTTTCATATAACCATAAATTTCGGAAATGCCTAAACTTCGATATTTCGAAATTTAAGGACGCTAATTTACTCAAAATTTATGGAATTTTAGAAAATGGGCGTGATACCGCCTACGCAAAAGTTATGCGCTGAAAGAAGTTCTGCACAAAAATACTTCCGCCCTCTTTTCAGGCAACACAAAAAGGAGAATTCTACTTAGTAAGGGTAATAATCCCTAAACGCGGCCGAAGGCCGCCTACGGAAAAAAGGGTTATAATCCTAAGTACGGCCAAAGACCGATTACGCAGAAAAAAGTTCTGCAGAAAAATACTTCCGCGGCGGAAAAAGAAGTTCTGCGCAAAAATACTTCCGCCCTTCTTTTCCGGCAACACAGAGAGGAGAATTCTACTTAGTAAGGGTTATAATCCGAAGGCCGCCTACGGGAAAAGAAGTTCTGCGCAAAAGTACTTCCGCCCCTCTTTTTCCGGCA